TAGTAAAGGTGATTTTATCTGGTGGTATGATTTAATTTATTGCCTTTTACTTTTGTGTCTGTTTGTTGTATGTTTGTGATTTGGGGTACAATGAGATTTTCGAACACTATTTTATAAGCCATTATCTTAAGCTGATAACAACTTAACAGTGCTTGCATAAACTAACAAGCAAAAAGAAAACTAATAATAACTCTATGCCTTAACTTCGTCCCCCACATTTTAACTTTTTGTTGGTTCTATTTATATCTTAATGTACTGTGTATGCCTTGAAAATTTGTTTTAGTTATTATTTTCAATTGGTTCATCTTTTGGTCTGTTTAGTATAAGAGTAGTTTACAAGGCTGGGCATGGTGGCTCACGCCTGTAATCCCAGCACTTTGGGAAGCCGAGGTGGGTGGATGATGAGGTCAAGAGATCGACACTATCCTGGCCAACATGGTGAAACCCTGTCTCTACTAAAAATACAAAAATTAGCTGGGCGTGGTGGTGCACACCTGTAGTCCCAGCTACTCAGGAGGCTGAGGCAGGAGAATTGCTTGAACCCAGGGGGGAAAAGAAAAAAAGACTAGTTTACAAATCACGGTTACAGTGTTTTAATATTCTGTGTTTTTCTGTGTACTTACTATTAGCAATGAGTTTGGGACCTTCAGATGATTTCTTATTGCTCATTAATGTCCTTTTCTTTCAAATTGAAGAACTAGATCTCATTAACATTTCTTGTAGAACAGGTCTTGTGTTGATGAAATCATTCAGCTTTTGTCTGTCTAGGGAGGTCTTTATTTCTTCATCACATTTGAAGGGTATTTTCATGGTATATATTATTCTAGAGTAAATGTTTTCTTTTCCTTCAGCACTTTAAATATGTCATGCCACTCTCTCCTGGCCTGTAAGTTTTCCACTGAAAAGTCTGCTGTGAGACCTATTGGAGCTCCATTTTATGTTGTTTGTTTCTTTTCTCCTGCTGCTGTTGGAATCCTTTCTTTATGCTTGACCCTTGGTAGTTTATTAAAAGCCTTGAGGCAGTTTTCTTTGGGTTAAATCTGCTTAGTGTTCTATAACCTTCTTGTATTAGGATTTTGCTATCTTTCTCTAGGTTTGGGAAGTTTACTGTTATTATCCCTTTAAAATTTTTACTCCTATCTCTTTCTCTACCTCCTCTTTAAGGCCAAAAACTTAGATTTGCCCCTTTGGGGCTATTTTCTAGATCTCATAGATGTGCTTCATTCTTTTTATTATTTTTTCTTTTGTCTCTTCTGATTGTGTATTTTCATTTTTTATTTCTTTATTTTTTATTCGACTATTTTCAAATGGTCTGTCTTCAAGCTAATTCTTCTGCTTAGTCTATTCTTCTGTTAAGAAACTCTGATGCATTCTTCAGTATATCAGTTACATTTTTCACCTTCAGAATTTCTGCTTGATTCTTTTGAATTATTTCAATCTCTTTGTTAAATGTATGATAGGATTCTGAATTCCTTCTCTGTGTTACCTTGAATTTGAGTTTCCTCAACACAGCTACTTTGTCTCTTTAAATCTATTTTCTATCTTTATGTACTCTTCTTTCTTCCCTGGAAGGATAATAGTATGGGCTTTCATACCCTCCGGCTCCTTACCTCTCTCTGTCCTCTTTCCTTTGGGCCCAGGGATGGCGCCAGCTACACTGCTGCCAGCCTCAGGCTCCTGCACTATCTGTCCCTTTTTGGTTCTGTCACACTCTATCCACCATAAGTTGTTCCTTTGTAAATAAACCTTCCTCTAATTATTCTAATTTAATTGTGCCAACTGTTTTATATTGAGTCCTTGACTGATACAGGAAAACTGGTAGAATATGAATCTCCTAGTCCATCACTGAAGTGTAGAATACTGAAATAAAGTTATTATGGAAGAGTTCTGAGATCTTAGCAGTATACAGCGTTGCACTTCCAGTCTTCTTCCTCCGTTACAGAGAAGACATCTAGATGTGTATAAGAGACAGGTGGAAGAGTTCTGAGATCTTAGCAGTATACAGCGTTGCACTTCCAGTCTTCTTCCTCCGTTACAGAGAAGAGGGGGCTGTTTGGCATGTATTTTCTGAATTTGGGAGCATATTTTAATATAGCAACTCATGTCTGCTACTGTTTGAACGAAGACACTTCACTGAGCATTTTTTAATGAGACACTGGTGAAGAGTGCCAAGCCTGACATAATCATAACGTATTGTGCCTTAGCAGAAGATACAAGCATTTTCAACTCATTTTACTTCTCTGCAGCCCTTAAAGGGTAAACAAGAGGGTGTCAGGGATTCCTGCAGCCCCACACGGAGGGTCGTGGAGACTAGCAGAAGGGCAGAAACCATCAGACTGCAGTGGTTCCAGGCTAAACAAAGGAACATCCAACCTGAAAAATGACGTTGGGATAGTGTCCTGATGAAACACGGATTCCATTCTAGAAGGAGTTCTTTTGGTACCAAATATAGGCATGAAGCTGAACATTGCTCCAAGAAAACCAAACATTGCTTATAAGAACCATCATGTTCACACAGGTAGCCAGTAGCAGATGGCAGAGATACCTTTGACCACTTACTTACGTGGTTTCTTCATCCTTTCTCTGCTTCCTTCATAGGGGATGTATGAGAATACAAAACTCAGAGAGAAAAAAGGGAAAGTCCATTAAAGAAAGATAATCCCTCTCCTTTACTGTGAGCCTCTAGGTTCAAAAACAGGTTTAGCTTGAGTTAGGACAGGTGGAGAGGAACATAGTTTAGGAAAGGAGGCTGGAGCAAGGGCATGAGCCTAGAATGGACTTTAAGATGGAAGTTATAAAATAAGCAATCTTGAATATTGAAACAAGATTATACTATTAAACAAGAATGATTGGAAAAATGTGGACTCGGCCAAGAAACTGTTAGCAAACCACTAAGGAGAGAGGAAGAGTTACTAGAAAAGGAACACAGGTGCATGTTTATATTTCAACTCTTGAGACTCATTGCTACTCGGTTTCATAATTTCTTTCTATGCATCTGTAACTTGAATTCACTTCTGACAGGATATTTTTGTCTTATATATGGTAGAGTTAATTGTTCTAGAAACTTACTTCAAGCTAACTTAAGCAACAAAGGGGGATTTATTGGAAAGCCGCTTGGGTATCTCACAGAACCCAAGGAAGATAATTGCACTGGATTTCCACAGGACCTGGAAAATCCTCAGAAACTCAAGTGTTCTTTCTTCTCTTTCCAGTTATAACCTTCAGGAAGGGGAGAGTGGCTCATGGGCTGAGTGGATAAACCACAAAATGGGTAATATACTGTCGGTGAGTTTTAAGTGACAAATGAAGTCTAAGCTGTGATTGCACTGGTTGGTGACTGAAACTTAAAATGGGACTTAGAGGTTAAGTGGAGGGAATATGTTGCCAAAATGTTAGAAGGATCTTCTTCAAAGAGAAGTTGAGGCTCTAGAGGATAATGGTAGGGCACAGAGTGGAGGTGAAGCTTCTCAGGGGTGGGGGTCAGTGGGGAGGATAGGAGAGTGTTCCTGATTTTGAGGAGGAAGGATAGAGGGTTTTACTGGTGAATGACCTAAGTGTCATGACCACTCGTGTTCTCAGGATTCTTGAGTATTGGGAGATGTGGCTGCAGTGGACAGGGCAGTGTCAGAGAGACTAGATTTTACGATAGAAGCTTTCAAATTACCTACCCATAACCAACTTACCAGGAGACTGATACTGTCCATCTCCTCCAAAAAATAAAACTGACATGTCCACAGCATGCCAAATTCATACAGCCAGTAGGCTAATTTCTGACATGCCTGGCACTTTGATATCTACCAGTTGAGCTTTATGTTTATCAAGAATAGTTGTATAAACTTCCAAAACTGTTTATGGACAGGCACGGTGGCTCACGCCTGTAATCCCAGCACTTTGGGAGGCCAATGTGGGTGGATCGCTTGAGGTCAGGAGTTTGAGACCAGCCTGGCCAACATGGTGAAACCCTGTCTCTACTAAAAATACAAAAATTAGCCAGGCATGATGGCAGGCACCTGTCATCCCAGCTACTGGGGAGGCTGAGGCAGGAGAATTGCTTGAACCCGCGAGGCGGAGGTTGCAGTGAGCCGAGATCGTGCCACTGCACTCCAGCCTGGGAGACAATAAAGGGCCAACGTGTTTTGGTTATTTTATGACTACATAAACAATAATCTTTTAAAAAAAGGTTTTGCGAAAACTGTAAAGATCTAAATAGAGTCTGCATTTAGTATTTTTCCCCACAAGAACCTTTAGGTTCTAGCTGTTTTAAATGTCAACTCATCTGGATGTGGCTTATGCTAGAAAGACCTAGAAGAGCTCTTATTATGGATCCCCATTCAATGAAGACACGTTGGCCCTTTATTAAAAATTCATGAATGGCTCGACATTTATGATTTCAGTTTAAAACAAAATGTTAAGGTACATATATCTGTATACTTTTTCACTTTAGCCAACTATTTTGAGTCTTTCAACATGAGGAGATGGAAGGGCTGTTCAAGCCCTTTTTTTTTTTTGGCAATAGCACAGGAGGTCCAGGAGAGAGGCCAGCTGTGGGTGAGCAGGAGTGTCTGGGGAGTGTCAACTTTCCACTGAAAAATACCCCTGCGCTTCAAGCCATTCCACTTCTGTTATCTCCAAAGCTGTGGCAATCGTATTTATATATTCACCAAAACTGGTTGGGCGCTAGTGTTTAGCTGTCACCGTCTGTAGGCTGGTGTGTTCGGCTCATGGCAGAGTGTGAACCTGGCATCGGGGAGTGTTTGTCGAGTGAATAAGGGTGGGGCTGTACTTTCCAGAGCCGCCGGGAGAAACTGGATACAGAGACCCTAGCCTGGCGGCCAGTCTCAACGTTCCTCCCAGTGGGGGAGGAATCTGTGGGTGGGAGGTGGGGAGCCTGAAACCCAAATATAACAGGCAGTCTGGACTGGGCGTGGTTCCCTGGGAGCTGGGTCTCAGATCCTCGTAGAGCTGATTTCTCCCCAGATCCCCCTGGAGGTCCGGGCAAGATGGGCAAGTACTCGGTCCGTGTAGCCACCGGGGATTTGTTCCTGGCAGGCTCTCCCAACCAGGTGCAGCTGTGGCTGGTGGGTAAGCACGGGGAGGCAGACCTAGGGACGCAGCTGCGACCCGTGTGGGGAAAGGTGAGAGCTGGGGCCCTGGGACTCTGAGGTGTCACTGGGGGTTGGGGCCAGTCAGAGGGTGCTGGAGAAACCCCGGAAGCCAGGTAGAGGCTGAGGTCGGGTGCACTTGGTGTGCCTGATAGGAAAAGGAAAAGCAAGAGGAACAGGAGAAATGAGAGGCAATTTCCTGCTTGAGCAGAGACCATGAGATGCCCGCTGGGGTGTGCATGGCAGGTCTGGGGGAAGCCGGCGCCCCACAGTACCAGCTGCTCACCACCACCACCTCTCCCGGGGTATGCTCCAGTGGGGAAACAGAGCCAGGATTCTCTGAAGGTTCACCGACCCCGCCACCCTCCCTGAAGACCCCAACCCTGCCACTGAGCTGTGTCCTGTTGCACAGGAGGAGTTTGAGATCGACGTCCCCCTGCACCTGGGGCGCCTCCTGATGGTGAAGCTGCGCAAGCACAACGTGCTGTTGAGTGTCGACTGGTTCTGCAAGTGGATCTCAGTGCAGGGCCCGGGAACCCAAGGCGAGGCCTTTTTCCCCTGCTACCGCTGGGTGCAGGGCCACAGGATTATCTGCCTGCCCGAGGGCACTGGTGAGCTCAGTGGAGAAGGGGCGCGGCCCCTGGCAGGCTGGAGGAAGAAGCGGGTTGGGGGAGGCTACTGTAAAAGAGGGAAAGATGAGGGAGACGGGGAAGAAGTGAAGGAGGATGGGGCAGAGGATGGTGGCTGATGGAGAGACCCAGGCGCGAGTGCAGCGCAGAGGGGTGACCAGGGAGGGTGTGTGCTCTTGTCCCCCTCCCCCAGCCCGGACCCTGAGTGATGACCCCCAGAACCTGTTTAAGAAGTACCGGGAACAGGAGCTCGAAGAAAGAAAGAAGGTGTACCGGTGAGCCCCAGAAAGTCTTTGATCCCCCTACCAGATCCCAAGAAACCCGCTGCCCACCCCCTTATGCCTACCTCCGTGTTCTTCCTTCAGGTGGGGCTCCTGGAAAGATGGGTTAATCCTGCCTATAGCAGGGAATAGGCAACCGGACCTTCCCAGGGACGAGCGATTCCTCGAGGATAAGGATTTAGACTTTAGTGTCTCCCTAGCAAAAGCGTGAGTGACAGCTAGAGGCTGGGGACTTGCTTCCCAGGGCGCAAGGTGGGATCCTTCGTTGATCATATTGTACTCCATTCTTTCCACAGGTTGAAGGACATGGCCATTAAGGGGACACTGGATTTCATAAATTGTGTGAAAAGGCTGGAAGATTTCAAAAAAATATTCCCACGTGGAAAGACTGCCCTGGCTGGTCCGTTTCCACAACCTCCCAAAACCAATCTACAGATTTCCAGCCCAGGGAATTTGAAAAAGGAAGGGGATAGAGGATGGAAGAGTAATAGGTCAGCGGGATTAGGAGCTCACAGGCTGCTCCCCAATTGATGTTCCTAGAGCGGGTTCATGATTCTTGGAAGAGTGATGCCTTCTTTGGGTACCAGTTTCTCAATGGTGCAAACCCCATGCTCCTGAGGCGTTCTTCAAGGCTCCCCGCCCGCCTGGTGCTGCCTCCAGGGATGGAAGACTTGAAGACCCAGCTGGAGAAAGAACTCCAGGTGCTGCCGTTATCCCCACCTCGCTTCTCTTTGCCTCCTCCTCCTCCTTCATCTGCACTTAAGGCTTCTCAGCTTTGGCACTATTAACATTCTGTGCCACATAATTCTCTGTTTGGCGGGGGGGCTTTCCTGTGGATCGTAGTGTGTTTAGTAGCATCTTTGGCCTCATCCCCCCGGTTGTGACAACCAAAAATGTCTCTAGATATTGCTGAATGTCCTGGGGTTAGGGAGTGGGGAGAGGAGGAGTCGCCCCTGATTGAGAACGTTGATCTACAACATCTCCTCCTGTATCTTCTTTTCTTTCTCTTCCGTCTCTACTTTCCTCTCTTCCTTCTTCACTGAACATATATCAGCCTTAGGGAAGAGCTCAAGCTTCTGGAGAGAAATAGCAAGAAAAACTAAACAAAGCCTTGGAGAGCTAAAAGCTGAATCTATTTTGGGGGGAGGTGGGTAGATAAAGGAAGTATTTTTGCTACCTTGGCTAAAGCTGGCAGAAGAAGGGTTATGTGAAGAGTGCAATGGCCTTATGTGGTGGAAAACCAGAAACTTCACTGCAGGGAGCTCCAAGTCTGAAGGAAGACATCCGTCATGAAAACTATGTGTTCAGTTTTTTGGTTCTGGGGAAAGTGATTGGTGTTTAAAGTAAAATAGACTTGGATGGGTAGAGGAAGGATCCACCCTGGAAAATGAGAGAAGGGCTCCAGAAAACGACTCCAACTCTATTTTCTATTCCTGCCTCTGGCCCTGCAGGCTGGATCTCTGTTTGAAGTGGATTTCTCCTTGCTGGACGGAGTCAAGCCTAATGTCATCATTTTTAAGCCGCAATATGTGGCCGCCCCTTTGGTCATGCTGAAGCTGCAGCCTGATGGAAGACTCTTGCCCATGGTCATCCAGGTAAGAGGGCCCAGGTGTTTTTCTACCAGACACTGATCTCCTTTAGGGACTTAGATACACAGGTCCTCAGCCCCCATTCTCTCTCCTGCTGTAGCTCCAGCCACCTCGATACGGATGTCCCCCACCTCTGCTCTTTCTGCCCTCGGATCCCCCCATGGCCTGGCTCCTGGCCAAGACCTGGGTCCGGAGCTCTGATTTCCAGCTGCACCAGTTACAGTCACATCTGCTGAGGGGACACTTAATTGCTGAGGTTATTGCTGTGGCTACAATGAGAAGCTTGCCTAGCCTCCATCCTATTTACAAGGTACTTCAGTATCTCTGTCATTCTGTATTTGACTGTCCTTCATATTTCAGACTCCTACACGGAGTCTCACCTTATACATTTCAGTCTAGCAGCAATCAATTTATATGTGGAGACACATACACAGTACTATGGAAACACCCAGGCACACACTTACTATGAGGTGGGGGGAAAAGTGAGAATAGGTTTTGCAAAGGAGTTGAAATTTGGGCTGAGGAGGTTTCCAGGTGGGCAAGTGAGGGGTAGAACATTATAGCCAGAAAGATCAGTAGAGGCAAGGAAAGAAAGGAACATGGATAATGGGTGAGATTAAAGTGTAGGGCATGAGTTGGGGTGAAAAGAAGAGGTGGAAGGAGATGAGAAGAAGCCATGTTACTTAGTGGGGAGAAGAATCAAGTTATTTTCTGACTATGTGAGGCTTCCAGTGCCTATAAAGACCCATTTGTGCATGTCAGGAGGGCAACTGGATATGTGAGTCTGGAGTTCTTAGAAGAGGTGTAGGTTGCAAATACAGATTTTAGAGTCATTAGAAAATGAAAGTATCTAAAGTCATTGTACTGGATGAAGTTCTCTAGGGTTTGTAGAGACACTAGAGAATTTGATCCAGATATAACTCTAGGGTGATCCAACATTTACAAATTGAGAGGAGGGAGCAGAGTGAGAAAAGAGAACGAACCTCATTGAGGTAGGAGGAAAACCAAAAAGTGCAATGCATGGCATCCAGGAGAAGAAAGTGTTTCAAAAGGGACGCGTGATTATCTGTCTCAAATGCTGCTGAGAGATCAAGAAAGTTACAGAGAAGTGACATTTGGATTTCTCAGTATGGAAGTCGTTGGTTAATAAATGGACATGCGCTATCTCAGGGAAGTGGAGGAAGCCTGATTCATGATTCATGGGGGAGAGCAGCAAATGTCAGGTGAGTAAGCAAAGACAATACTGGGTGAAGATTTGCTGTGAAAGGGAAAGCAAGAAACAAGGTGATGGCAAGACAAGGATGTGGGGGTCAAGCACAGGTTTTCTTTAGGGTATCCAATATTGCACATGTTTGTATGACAGAGAAGGAATATCATTATAGGAGGGTGAAGGTCTGGGTGAAGGCAAAAAGGGATGGGCTTATCTGTGGGTACCTGCCAGGATATGAGACTGTGGAAATAAGCAAGCTAAAACTTTCACCATGGGAAGCTCTGAGAAGACACTTTCCCATCTCTATATTCCCAAATGTTACCCTGACCCCATCCAATTTAATGAGAAGGCTGTTTCATAAAGACCCATCCTCTCCCTTCTTTTCTGTCACTTCAACATCCTCTTCCCTCATGGATGCTGGGACCTCTCTTATTTGACCGTGTCCCATTTCTTTCTTCCATAATCAGCTCCTGATCCCCCACTTCCGCTACACCATGGCGATCAACACCCTGGCCCGTAGTCGTCTTGTCTCTGAAGGGGGAATTTTTGACCTGGTACGGAAATGGATGGGTGAAGGGGAGGTGGGTTCAATATTGGAAGAATCCTAGGGGTTGTTTCCCTTTCCCACTCCTCCCCCAAGCTCTCCTTCCTCCATGGAAGGCCTCTCCCAAACCTGCCTCATGCCTGAATAGCTTCCTGCTTAAAAGGGCTAGAGTAGGACCACAGGCCTGGAGTCTCTGATGCTCGTCTTCCTCCCTCCGCAACTTGGCATGGCTGTGGGTTATCCTCAGGTGGTGAGCACTGGTAGTGGGGGCCACGTGGACATTCTTCAGAGAGCCACAGCTTGTTTGACCTATCGTTCCCTCTGTCCTCCTGATGACCTGGCTGACCGTGGACTCCTGGGTGTGAAATCTTCTCTTTATGGCCAAGATGCCATCAGGCTGTGGGGAATCATCAGCCGGTAGGTGAAGGTGGCACAGAGAGGCAGTGAATGGAGGGGCAGGGGACTGTAGGTCCAGAAGGTCCTGCATCGGCCCCTGAGACTGAGTATCTTCTTCCCTGGGGAGCAGGTACGTGGAGGGGATGGTTGGGCTTTTCTACAAGAGCGACCAAGCCGTGAAGGATGATCTAGAGCTCCAGGCCTGGTGCAGAGAGATGACTGAGACTGGACTGCAGATGGCCCAAGACCGGGGGTGAGACAGGGATCCCTCCCCACTGACCCCTGTCAACACCCACTCCTCTGCAAACAATCTGCTGCTTCTCACATCATGAGACACCCCGCCTGCCCGAGGGACCTGAGAATTCTCCAGGGTGTGTCCAGAAATGCTAACGAGCACTCCTGATCTCCCCAGCCCTCTTCCCACACAGTGTTCTCTCTCCTCATGCACTGAGAGCTTCCTTTGGAACCAGTTACAAAACTTCTCTTAGGTATTTCCCCTCACTCTTCCCTCCCCTCTCCCCATAGCTCAGGATTCATCCCAAGCGCATTAACCTTGGAGCACACACAAGGTGGGAGTCCTAGGGTGTGCAGGCCAGGACCACAGAAAAATAACTTTTCTGTATCTCCACATAGCTCTCCCTGCCTGAGACCTGTTTCGTGTTCTGGTTTCAAGGTCTCCGATTCTCCTCATTTCACCAGGTTCCCCATCTCCTTAGAGTCCCGGGCTCAGCTCTGCCACTTTGTCACCATGTGCATCTTCACATGCACGGGTCAGCATGCTTCTAACCACCTGGGTCAGGTAACCTATGTGATCATCCCCCAAGGGCTCCTGGGATGGAGAAGTGGGGGATCAAATGCCCAAGTCATCAGCCTAGGTTTCTGTGGGCTCTCCTCCCTGCAGCTGGACTGGTACTCCTGGATCCCTAATGGCCCATGCACCATGCGGAAGCCCCCACCCATCTCCAAGGATGTGACAGAGAAGGACATAGTGGACTCACTGCCCAATCTCCACCAGGCACATATGCAAAAGACCGTCACAGACTTCCTTGGCAGACGTCAGCCTGTCATGGTGAGAAGCAAATGCCCGGGTCCTGGGAAGGAGGCAGCTCAAAGGAGGGGAAGTATTCTGGGTTGAGAGCCCCAAGGGGCTGAGCCACCTTGTTTTCCACCTCTCAGGTGGCCCTGGGGCAGCATGAGGAGAAATATTTCTCTGGCCCTGAGCCCCAAGCTGTGCTGAGACAATTCCGGGAGGAGCTGGCTGCCATGGACAAGGAGATTGACGTCCGGAATGCAGTCCTGGACCTGCCCTATGAGTACCTTCGACCCAGCATGGTAGAGAACAGCGTGACCATCTGAGAGGGCTTGCCCGCCTCCGCTCCAAAGCTCCACCATCCCTGAGTGCCTTTTAGTATTCCGTCCTCCTCACATCCTCTGGTGAACAAATTGTCCTCAAAGCTTTGTGGTCAGGGTACCCAGAGCTGCCCACCACACAACTATGGGGAATACACGGTGATGGTCCCCACTGCATTTGGAAGCGGCATCCCCCAAAGCTGCCCTACCTTAAATGTCCATCCAGTCCTGCACTTCCTCACCCCTGATCCCTGGCACACCTCCTCATTGCCAAAGGACCTGGCTTAGATACAAGTAAAAATACACGATTAAATAACAAAACTGATTATGGTGGTGGAAGGTGGGAGGAGAGACCTTGCTCTGTCTCCTGCCCCTTTACTCAGATTCCAAAGGAAGAAAGAAAATTTTTTCCAGCAATCAATGCTTTTTTTCCAAGGGTATCTTGGAACCTCTCTGTCAGGCCTTTGAGCCCAAGCCAAGCCATCGCATCCCCTGTGACTTGCACGTATATATTTGCCCAGATGGCCTGAAGTAACTAAAGAATCACAAAAGTGAAAATGCCCTGCCCCTGCCTTAACTGATGACTTTACCTTGTGAAATACTCCCCGACTGAGCACCGTGTGACCCCCACTCCTGCCCACCAGAGAACAACCCCCGCTTTGACTGTAATTTTCCTTTACCTACCCAAATCCTATAAAATGGCCCCACCCTTATCTCTGTTCGTTGACTCTCTCTTCAGACTCAGCCCGCCTGCACCCAGGTGATTAAAAAGCTTTATTGCTCACACAAAGCGTGTTTGGTGGTCTCTTCACACGGACACACATCACACTCTCAAGTTAAATGACAAATGTTCTGGATGACCGAGCCCACTGGGGCACAGAAACCTGGCTCTTGACAAGGGTTTTTGGCTTGAGGCCTCTGCGAATCCCCAACAAGCCGTCCCTTAGGCTACCTGCACCAACGCCTCCGGTGTGACTCCCGGCACAGCCCTCCTGGCACAGTCCCTGCCCGGCTGCGTCCCAGTCTTCCTCTCAGTCCTGCCCCAGGACTCTTGATAAACCCTCTTCTCATCAAGCTCTATCCTACCATCCTTAAAACATACCATCTATCCCAGAGTCCTAGATATTGGAGATAAATGGATAAAGAAGGAACTAGTAGGCCAGGCTCTATGTTAGAAATTTTAAATATATCATATCAATTTATCGCACCAGGCGCAGTGGCTCATGCCTGTAATCCCAGCACTTTGGGAGACCCAGGCAGGCAGATCATCTGAGGTTGGGAGTTTGAGACCAGCCTGACCGACATGGGGAAACCCCTTCTCTACTAAAAATACAAAATTAGCCAGGCGTGGTGGCGGGTGCCTGTAATCCCAAATCCCAGCTACTTGGGAGGCTGAGGCAGGAGAATCACTTGAACCCAGGAGGCGGAGGTTACAGTGAGCCGAGATCGCGCCACTGCACTCCAGTCTAGACAATAAAGAGGGAAACTCGGTCTCAAAAAAAAATTTTTTTTATCCTCACAACTTCTCTGAGGTTGGTATCACTGTCACCATCTTATAACAGGAAAATGAAGGTTGGAGAGATAAGGACAGAAATGACCTGGCACCAAAATGCAGCAGAGTCAGATTCCATTTGCTAGAAGGAAGCAAAGCCCAGGATTGTGGTCATAGCAATAGCAGTTAAAAGACTGATTATAAAATCTAGAGGCCAATGAAAGCTTTGGATGGATCTGATGTAATGGGGGGGAAAAAAGGAGAGAGAAAGATTCTTTGAGTCTTTCAAAGAATCTTACACATTCAAATTACTTATGTGCCATATATTTTAAAAAGGAACATAGACAATATGGTTAATATGGTAGAAATAGACATGTGTGAGCCATCCAAATTCACCTACTGATGCCCTCAACCTTCTAATGTCCCGTCCTGTTCTGTGTATTGCTTCCATCCATCATATGGCTCTTTTCAGTAGATGACAAAAGAATTTTAAGATAGCCACAGACCATAGACTCACAGAATCTTTGACTTGGTTGCTAGAAGCTTTTGTGGTTGCATGGAATGGTAGCAAGGAGACTCAGAAGAGAGGGAGGGGATGAGGAAGAGGCAGAGGTCACGCTGAGATTTTCAGTTTCGGCATGATTGGCGAGAAATACAAAGATTCAGAAGGAAGGTTGTTTTAAGTTTGATGTAATAGCGGGGTCCTTCTGGGAAGAAATTAAACAGGTAATTGGAGAGGCTGAATTGAAAAAAGAAAGGAGGTGAGTTCTACAGTTTGGATGATATTATGAACAAGGGAAAAAGAAGAGTCAGGGGCCAAGGACACCTTGGGATATACTCAAGAGTTAGGGATATAAAAGAGAACATGAGGCCAGGTGCAGTGGCTCATGCCTGTAATCCCAGCACTTTGGGAAGCCAAGGTAGGTGGATCACCTGAGGTCAGGAGTTCAAGACCAGCCTGACCAACAAGGTGAAACCCATCTCTACCAAAAATTAGCTGGGCAGGGTGGCATGAGCCTCTAGTCCAAGCTACTCAGGAGGCTGAGAGGAGAATTGCTTGAACCTAGGAGTCAGAGGTTGCAGTGAGCTGAGATCGCACCACTGCACTCCAGCCTGGGTGATGGAGCGAAACTTGTCTCAAAAAAAAAAAAAAAAACATGAAGCCAGGAAGTGAGAATGATCCTAGTTTGAAAAGTAAGAAGAGAAGCTGGATGACGCAGGTCACAGAAGCCAAGAAAAAAGAGAAGTTCAAGGCTACAGGGGGCAGGAAATTAGGTCTTCCCACACCCCCCGTCATCACTCCCTATGACCGAGTTGTCTCCCTGAGCGCTCTCATTTTTTAAGATGGAGTTTCACTCTTGTTGTCCAGGCTGGAGTGCAATGGTGCGATCTCAGCTTACCGCAACCTCTGCCTCCCAGGTTCAAGCGATTCTCCTGCCTTAGCCTCCCGAGTAGCCAGGATTACAGACATATGCCACCACCCACAGCTAATTTTTGTGTTTTTAGTAGGGATGAGGTTTCATCATATTGGTCAGGCTGTTCTCAAGCTCCTGACCTCAGGCGATCCACCTGTCTCAAAGCCTCCCACAGTGCTGGGATTACGAGTATGAGCCACCGCGCCCAGCAGCTCTCCCATTTTCTAGGTGTGTCACCTCACTCCCATTTTCCTCCCCAGTCTGCTCCCCATCCTCCCATGTTTCCTCAGCAAGTGTCCTCATCTCTTCTGCACAGCACAGTCATATCCTCAGTCCAGCTTTCAGATTCTCCCACCTCATCTCTCAAGAGGGTCTGATATAACGACTCTTTTACCGAGGTAATCTGTTCAGGCACCTGTGCCTATGAGAGGCTTACTGTGATCTCTGAATCTTTGTTTGTGATAATCCTACATGGACTGCTCACCTCTAGATTTCTTACGAAATCACCTCTCATTTCTACAACAAGCGCAAATTGCCTTAAAGCTCAGTGTCCTGGCTTTGATCGATCCTTCGCTCCCTAGTCTGCCTGCACTCATGAAGGGTCACGCTATTGAAAAACTCCACGTGGTGCCATGTATGTTGCATTCCATGTGGAAGGTGCCCTCTGGAGTCTGCCAGAGACAATGAATAAACATTAGCTGCCAGAGACAATGAATAATCTTGGAAGTGTTGAAAGAAAATACCGGCCAGACTAAAGACTTTCTACAAATCAATGAGAAGAAATAGGCAGCTCAATTAAAAAATGGACAAAAGGCCGGGCACGGTGGCTCACGCCTATAATCCCAGCACTTTGGGAGGCTGAGGCAGGCAGATCATGAGGTCAAGAGATCAATATAGCAGCTGTATGTAAAAAATGATATTGAAAGTATCCTGAGTTCTGGAGTTGCACCGATTCTATTAGGCTGAGAACCCCAGTTTCAAGTTCATCTCTTCATTTTTGTCTCATCCCATTTCACAGCAGCTTAACAGCAGGTCCTTTGTGTTCGTTTCTGGCCCATAGAGGGATCTTTATTCAAAATCACGGGGTTGTCTCTAAATTTCTGCTAAGCTAATGAATGGTGTTAGTATGTTCTCTCCAGGGCAGAGGCAGAGATTATTATTATTATTTTTTTGATTAGCCAAAAGCAACATTACACAATAAATCACGTATCATTTTAAAAGAAGAGTTAACTATTATAACGAAAAGATAAAATGCCATGGCGTTCAGGCAATGGTGGATTAAAAGTGCTTCGCACCTATCAGTTCTGTAAAACCTAGCTTAAGTCTGTTGGTCTAACTTTTTAACTAGACTTACCTTCCTTTAGAAAATATTTGATGTGCAGAGAGCTAGATTGAGGGTCTAGCAGTCACAGATCACCTTAATCCAATCAGGAACTAAGATTATTTGATGCTGGGTTTTAATCACTTTAAGGCCTGAATTTCCACCCCACCTGTACCACTAGGGTGCAGCTCTTTGAGGTCCTACCCCAAAGTGGGTGAGAAAGAGAGAGATACCGGGATGGCCGAGAGTCCTTCAAAGACATCATCGCCACAGATTAAAGAGAAATCTTAAATGTAGAGAAAAATCTCATTACTTTCACATGGGCATCAATAATACAGATAGCATTTTCTCAAATGAAACATTAGCTGCCAGAGACAATGAATAATCTTGGAAGTGTTGAAAGAAAATACCGGCCAGACTAAAGACTTTCTACAAATCAATGAGAAGAAAT